TGTAATTCGCTTCAACCTTTTTGAATTTTATGAATGATTATTTTATGTTCAATTTTATGTTCATTTTATGTGCGTGTAAGGATTTGGAAGCAAGCAGAGTACGGCTGTTTCTAACGCATGCAGCGCCATCTGCTGTTCAAAACTAAGCTCAGAATCGACTCGAGAAAGAACCGCGATGCATTCGGAAAATCTCAGAATCGATGCGGAATCATTTCTCGATGCATCTATTTATTTTCCCAGCCCTAGAATGTGCGTGTACCTTCCCGCGGTGGCGTCCGGTCAGCAGGATCAGGACCGTCCCGGGGCTGATGGACTTGCGCAGTTTCCTGCGGTGCTGACTGAAGGGCTTGACGCCGTGACTCCGCAGCTTACGGGACACGTCCTCTGTGGGGTAATACCGGGGCTGGACACCAAACAATAGTTGTATCTCGGCCAAATATTGTCCTATCCTAACAAACCATACATCAATGGAAAGCTTATTTATTCATAAATCTCAATTTCAAATTGACACTTAAGACTGGTTTTGTGACGTATTACTAACATCTACCCACTTTCAAATTTGACATGAGAAAAACCACTGATGCAAGAAAAAAAGATTCTCAATTCATTTAATTTTAATCATTAAACTTAAGAAAACATAATCCAAGAATTACCCGTATCAGCTCCTTTGAATTCAGTTAAATTCCTTAATTATTTATACCTTCTTGCATCACATTTTTTCAATATTCATTAGAAATTTTATTTGACCAGCATTTTTACTACATAATCTGAAAATTTTAAGTATCAACTATTTTGAAATCAATGATGGATTCAATTAAATTCTTTTTTTTAATTATTATTATTCATTGCTCTTTTTTTTCCCCAATGTGTCTTACATCACATTGGCTTATATTTTCAATATTCATGAGAAATTTTGACTTATTACATGAAATTTATTACAAATAATCTGAGCATTACCAATATCAACTCCTTCGAAATCAATGGAGTTAAATTCCTTATTTTTCGATTTCTTAACATTTTTACCTATTACTTTTTATTTATAACTTGACTCATGACAGCACACAATAAAAAAAAATTACCTACATATTCAATTTCTAACAAAACATCATAAATATAAAAAAATATTTCACTTGCGTAACTTTCTCTTGAAAGATTATTTTTTCATTCAGCCATGATTCATCAATAGACATGCATGTTCATGGACAAAATTTAGCCCCAAAAGTGTGCAAGATATGGGAAAGAATATATAAGACTAAATACATTTCACAAAAGCTTTTAACACTAATTTAACTCATAGATCACAGAAAGTCTGCATAAACTCAAGTGTAAAGTTTGGTCAAAATGGACACAAATGCAAAAGATGTACATGTTTATGGTTATACAATTCTGGTCCCCAAACAAGATCTCAGTGATTTGTAATAAACACTCACCAGTTTGCGCAGTTTGACCACACGGGTGCCTCCATTTTTGTCTCCGCCGACAGTTTTGACGACTTTGCTGGGAGCCCTTTCCTTGATTTTCTTCTCAACCTGAAACATCAAGACCGAGCGTTAGAAACCCTCAGGTTTGAGGTGAGCCCTGTGACCCCGCAGTGAAGACACAAACACTCACCTTCGTCACGGGAGCTTTAGTCTTCCTCTTGTACAAGGCCCGCCGAGCGTACATGGCCGAGCGGGAATAGCGGCCGATGCCCCGGACCAGGACAGGGTTACGGCTGCCATGCTTATGGGCCTTCTTCTTCTTATCGCCCTCAGCCATCTGAGAAAACACAGGAGTTATTAAAACATGCATGCACATAAAAAGACATACATTACTCAGGAGTAAGCTGCTCTGAAAACATGTCCATTATGAAAGGTGCTATACAAATGATAAATTAGTCTTGACATCTCAACAACATCAGTACACTTATTCTACTAAGTATACTCATAAATCATTGAGAAATGCATTAAGAATATCTGAACTGTTGCATATAGAACTGTTACTTAAATGTATGGACGCTCATATATATATATATATATAGCCTATACACACACACACAACATGTGTACATTATACGGACATATAATGTATATGTATATATATATATATATATTGTGCGTGTGTGTGTGTGTGTGTATATATATATATATATATATATATATATATAAATACTCTTCAGCATGGAGCTGCAGTAACTCAACGTGACCTGCTGTAGCATTGCTAATAGGCTAAAGCACATACAGCAACACCTATATAGACTGACAAACATCATTATATAACCTATTCCACACTATATTCACATGACAATCCGTCACGTACGACTTTACGGTCTTTAACGCGAATATAAACACACACCCCCCGCTTCGATTCGCAGAGACCCGGAGTCAGGCCTCAGCGCGCACCGAACACTCATAATGTACTTTAAAACACACTACATCCACAATTATTCACGGTTACTAGTGCTATAGGCACGTTAAAACATTCATATATGATCCAGAGTGAGATTTAAGATCAGATGAATCGGATTCACGCAGATTGTATTTGGGAAAAACAGACACGAAAACCACAATTACCTTCAGCTAGAAAAAAAGACCGACATCCGGGCATTTGACGTATATATAATCGTGACGTATGACGCTCGGGGTTCGTCTTCCGTCATGTTTTCGTCTTAAAGGCACAGGCGCTTCTCCGGCGGCGCGATGGAGTCACGAGCGCCGCTTATCGGGCGAGGAATGGAAATAGTTTAAAACCTTTGTGATGTTTTGTGTCTTTTGTCAAATTGAAGCAAATTTGTTTGTTGTACAAAATAAAGTAAAGCAATAAATCAGCTTTAGAAACGGAAAGTCCAGATTGCATTCATACAGTA